TTGGCCTGCAGGATGACGTTGTGGTTGAAGAAAATGCTCATTTCATGTTCAGTGGAGGAGACTCCCTTCAGGCCCTGCGTCTCTTTGATGACATCACCGTTGCCATGGGGACGACCTCGGTAGGCCTGCTGGAGGTCATACTGGACGGCTCTTTCTCAGACCTGCTGAGCCACATCATGACAGAAACGCATGATGATGCAGTCCTGCCATCAAAGAAAAGAACGGCGGACTATTCAGACTCTGAAGCTTCAGGTAAAAGACAACACAAGGAAATGACTACATCGAGCGACACAGAAAGTCCTTTTGTAGTTCCCTCATTGAGAAGGACAATGGGATTTGTAGTCGTAAGACGAGCTGCCGAAGTTTTCAAATGGGGTTTTCAAAAAATACCACAGGGAATTTTCTCCGATGCGCCAGACAAAAACTACGTGACCAATAATTCTGTAGGTAATGACACTGGTTTAATATCTAACCCCTCGCTGGAACTTTCTAAGAGTTCTGCTGTTACAAACATGGCAGACCATCTTCAAGCTCAAGAAGAGACACTACTGGCCAGTGAGAGCCCGAGTTCACATGGGGGTGTGAGGGAAGACTCTACTGGTGTCCTGCCGCTTGCTCTGCGGGTCCTGTGGAGATCTGACACAGGCAGGTGTGTTGACGCCTCTCCAATGCTGCTGGTGGCTCCTGATAGAACCACAGTGTTCATTGGCTCTCATTCGCACCGACTGCAGGCTCTCGATCTGTCCAGGGGTGAGGTCATCTGGGAGCGAATCCTTGGAGATCGGCTGGAGTCTTCAGCGGCGATCTCTTCATGCGGAGGACTTGTAGCCATAGGTTTGTCCTTGAGCTTATACCAATATTTATTCATAATTTTCAGCTTAGTCCCTTTATTAATCAGGGGTTGCCACAGCGGAATGAACCGCCAACTTATCCAGCATGTTTTATTATGCCACAGATGCCTTTCCAGCCGCACCCACACACTCATGCATTCACACACACACTATAGCCAATTTAGCTTTTTTTAATTCACCTGTAGCTCATGTCTTTAGACTTGTGGGGGAAACTGGAGCACCCGGAGGAAACCCACGCAAACACGAGGAGAACATGCAAACTCCACAAGCCGGGGGTCGAACCAGCGACCTTCTTGCTGTGAGGCAATTGTGCTACCCACTGAGCTACCGTGACACCATTAAAGGAACAGTTGACCCCAAAATTAAAACATTCACTCGCACACCACTTTTTCCAAATCTTTAGAAGTTTTTTTTTTGTGTTAAATGCAAAAGAAGATATTTTAAAGAATGTCAGAAACCAGTGGTCACTGACATCCATAGTAGGAAAAAATACTGACATTCATTTGTGTTCAACAAAAGAAAGATACTCACAAAGGTTTGTATTAACATATCAGGTAGTGAGTAAATGCTAACAGAACTTACATTTTGGGTAAACTGTTGGTTTTAAGGGAATGTTAAGAGAAGTATAAATACTTTGGCTTGAATAGCAGAGGTTTTCAGCAGGGTTCCTCAGCGCGTGTAACCTGTTTAACTATTTTCCTTAGGCTGTTATGACAGACAGATGTATTTTCTGGATGTTTCCTGCGGGGACACTGTGTGGACATTTGAGACCGGTGATGTTGTGAAAAGTTCCCCTACTGTGGACCCTAAAACTGGACTGGTTTTCGCAGGATCCCATGATGGCCATGTATATGCATTAAATCCACTGGTAAAATACTTTTTTTTAAATCTTAAGTTTTAAAAAATATTTCTAAATGTTGTTTTATAACACCATTAAATTTTTGTAAAAAAAAAAAAAAAAAAGAAAGAAATTTTAATTATTTCTTTATATCAGAGGTGCCCAAAGTAGGGCTTGCAGGCTAAAGATGACCCATGGTAATCTTAAGGTTTTGCCCACCATCCCATCTGAAAAGAAAGGGGAGAATGACGGGGAATTGGATGGGGCGAACGCCTTAGACAGAGATCATCATTTCAAACTTAATGTAACCTTACGTTTCTTTGTTTAATTGAATGTTGTTTGAAATAAATGTTGTAAATTAGTCAGATTTTTAAACTATAAATACTGTCAGTTGAAAGATAGAGGACAATGCAAAAAACATCAGTGAGTAAATCAAGGTAAAGGCAGGAGCAGCTCCACTAGTGTATTCAGCATTGAACTCTATTGTGTTATAAATGGAATTGTTTATGCTTTTACTATAATAAGGTCATTATAAAACATTAAAAATGATACTGCATCAATAATTTATATGTTTTAAAGCAACATTTTCTACTTGTGTTTAATAATTAGCAAATAAATTAGGATATTACCTATGGCAAATTTAATGCAATACGATTTGGAATATGTAACTTTGGCCCACAGCTTGCAATCAAGTTTTGATTTTTGCCTTTTATAAGAAAAAGTTTGGGCACCCCTGCTTTATATCATATTATAGTGTATATAAGTTTTTTATTATAGTTTTGGCTTGAATTTTTTAAACTTGTTTGATGCATTTTTAGTTTTCGTAACCACATGTCTTAAAAAATGTATCAGTTATTAAGAAAAGTAGTTGCCATATGGAGAAAATAAGTTTTTACTTGCACAACTCAGTTGTTTCAGATGACATTGACATGAAATGCTGCTAAAACTAGATTAATATTTAATCATCTATATTGTTACTTTTCTCTTTTATCCCAAGTACAGGATTTACTCTGCATCCTTAATATTTTACACACTTGTCTCTCTTTATTTCAGACAAAGACTTGTACATGGCAGCATTACTGTGGTGGTGGTGCAGTGTTTTCATCCCCTTGTGTCCACTTGTCTCCCAGACAGTTATACTGTAGTTCTTTGGGTGGGCATCTTCACTGTCTTAATCCAGTAAGTACATGTTTGCTCTTCTCTGGAGTACATGCACGAAAACATACCACTTCTCTAAAAACAAACAGGTCATGTTTTAAAGCTAATACTAGTCTTGTCATTCTGCATTAATTGTCTGTCCAGGACAGTGGAAAAGTCTTGTGGAAGTATTCCAGCAGTGCCCCATTTTTTTCATCTCCTCACTGCTCTGATTCCTCCGTCTTCATTGGTTCAGTAAATGGACATATTATTGGAATAAGCCATTCTGGAAATACGGTGAGATTGAAAAGTTGCTGAAAGGATAAATTGAATATATGTGTTATAGGGCCAGACAGAATCTGCGGACATGTTTTGCTATTTCTGCAGAGAATTGTGTTAAAAATCTGCTTTCTGTGGAATGATTTTGGAGTATCAAAACAAAAAACTTAATATGTGAAATAAAAAATAATACCTTTTCAACTTTTATTAAATGTTTACAATGCAAATCCAATTAGATCTACTTTATTTGGTAAGTCTAAGCAAGTCTCTCCTGTAACATATACTAAAAGACAGAAAATATTACTTTACTAACTGTATTGTAAATAAACTGTATGAATTTTTCATATTAATCAATAATTATACTGAAATTAATTTAAAAAGAAAATACATATATATTTACACAAATTTTCTCAAGTAAATAAAAAGAATCAATGAAGGGCCAAAAATTGCGGAATTCTGTGGGCCTGGTTAGTCACAGCTTTAATACATTTTAACACAATGGGTAGACCAACCAACAGTCAAAAGTAGCTTGTTTTGCTATGTATATTACTCTCATTTTTTAAAACCCAATACATATTGTTGGTATTTACTTGTATTTAGCTTTGAAGTGTCATTTTTACTCCTCAAATATAATTTAATGTAACTTGGAGTTTTGAATTTATGTTACTGTAGCAAAGCTAAATTTGATTTCCTCTATTATTTTACAGTTATGGGACTTCTCCACTGACGGACCAGTCTTCTCATCGCCATGCATTTCTTCCTTGACATTGTTGACCAATCAGCCACCTTCTACAACACCAAGCAGCAGTGTGACGACCTCACCCAATCACATAGTCACGTGTGGGTCACATGATGGTCATGTTTACTGTTTAAATGCCCAAAATGGATCATTACTTTGGCAGTTTCAGACCACAGGAAAGGTGTTCTCAACTCCATTTGTGTTTTCTGGTGCTCTGTGGGGTTTGAGAACACTAGCGGCTGTGTGCTCCACTGATGGAAAGGTGTGGGTTTTAGATGGAGAAACCGGCATACAGAAGGCAACGCTGTCTTTGCCAGGCGAGCTTTTCTCCTCTCCTGTCATATGGGGGAGTAAATTAGTGGTGGGATGTCGCAATGATTATGTTTATTGTCTCGAACTGACCACACAGTGATTAACCACAGAAATAAACACATGTGCAAATGGGTGATGATGACCAATATATGTTTACAAATTCAGATTATTTTTTCTAATAGCTCCTTTGGTAGTCACCCACAATTGCACATGGGTTTGTTTTTGTGGTTAATCTCATATGGATTGTGTGTGTGTGTGTGTGCGTGTGTGTGTGTGTGTGTGTGTGTGTGTGTGTGTGTGTGTACATACATACATTACATACATACATATGTGTGTATATATATATATATATATATATATATATATATATATATATATACATATATATATATATATATATATATATATGTCCTACAAATATATTTTGGTCACACTTTATTTTGATGGTCCGTTTGTTAAATGTGTATATATATATGTATGTATGTATGTATGTATATATATATATATATATATATATATATATATATATATACATACATACATATATATGTCCTACAAATATATTTTGGTCACACTTTATTTTGATGGTCCGTTTGTTAAATTTAAGTTACATTGCATCTATAACTAACTCTCATTAGATTATAAGTAGACTGTTAGGTTGGGGTTAGGATTAGAATTAATGTAAGTTGACATGTACTTGCTAAGTTTCTTATAGTCAGTTTAGCAGCATTATCAACAGATATAAAAGTAGACAGTCTACTAATACTCAAATGGACCATCAAAGTGTTACCTACATTTTTTATCATTAAGGTTCAATTTTTATGCAAAAACCAAATCTCAGTGCACCAGTTTCAAACAGCTTTTTTTAATTTACTCTACATATATCATAACATTTTGCGTCACCTTTTCTTTAATGGATTTTTCTTAAGTGGAACCAAAAAAAGTGCAATTTTCAACAATTGTTTTGTTTCATATCACATACAACACTGTTTACGCTACACTATTGCACACAACCAATGTAAAAACTAAGTGACGCAACTGCAGTTCAGGAGATCTCCAGTGGAATACAGTCTGTTTCATTTCACCTCTATACATACATACATACCTACATACATTACATACATACAACATTACATTAGATAGTGGAGTCTGCTGAGAGATCAAGGCTTCTGTTCAATAACTTCCTTCATTTAGCAGATGCTTTTTTTATAATCCAATGTGGCTTACAGTTCACCTACAAGGGCAATCCCTCCTGAAGCGATCTGGGGTTAGCTGCCTTTTCAAGGACGTAGAGGTGATGTCTGTTAATAGTCCATTCTTGCTCCCTTTTTTATAAGGGACCTCTTGTTCTTATTCCCCCTGGGATGCTGCATTTGAAACACCGATCTCCCATCACTAAGCAGTGTCGCAGGTTTTGTTAATTAGCGGTAAAAGTGATGCTAGCACACGCTACGCCAGGATAGCATTGTTTATTATACAGCAAGCAGGCGGAGCCCAATTCTACGTAAACAGGCGGGTATAGACATTGCAATTTTTTTTCAACTGACAGCACGGCTCAAGTGCATATATACCATGTCATGGAAACTTGAAGGAAAAATTCAATGTTAGTTAATTACAGAAGTAAACAGTGCTGACGTGTCATTGACATGATGATTTTTAGCAATAGTTAAAATGACGTTACTCACAGTTGTCACGGACACAGTGAAGATCTTTATACTTTGCCAAGATATCAAATATAATAAGTTACGAAATAAAAAAGTGATGTCTGTCCATCTGCTAGGTCTTTGAGCGCCAACTCATTTGAGTGTGTACGTGGAAAAACAGCACTCAAAAGAAAATTACAAAACTGTTTCTCTGATTTTCATGCTTGGGGGTGCGAGGAGTGAAACTGGTGAAGGTTTTATCTGTTGTGTTATTAATAGCCCTTGAATTGCATCCCAGAATTGCCACCAAAGCAGTAACATAACATCTCGTCTTATTTAAAATGTGTTACTGAATGTGAACCACTCACATTGTTTTAGTAATATCTAGGATCAACAGTTTGACATGCATTGTGTATTTATACTGCTAACAGGACTACTGATGATCTCAGAAGTTTGAAGGGCTTTAACCTCTCGATGAAGATTCTAGGGCTTGATTGATGATTGACATCTGATCATCTGATAAAATAAACTCAATGCAAATATGTAAAATTACTACATTTTGGGAAAAAAAAGTATGTTTTCTTTACTAAAATCCCAGTTGTCCAGAAATGCCTGCTTTAAGGTGAATAATGGACCTTTTGTTTGGAGCCTTTAGGTGAGCTGGGGTGCAGTGATTGCTAACTGATGTGGATGAAGTAGACTTGTGGTCAGTGGTATTGGATCACTTGATGATCTGTGGGCAGTCGCTCCAGGCTTTGGCCTTACGCTTTGCTAGGGCAAGCCATGCAGGCTCAGTAGAAACCTGGGTAGTGTCACCAGGAGGGAAGCGCTTGGTCACATCCTTTGTTGCTGGCGGCGATGGTGTAGAGTCTGTTATTTCAACTGCAAAAAGAAAGACAACTATTGTTTTGATCTTGATTGAGTTCAAGTGGGCTAACGAATTTAGAGAAAGTTATTTTCCTAATTTTATGTGGATAGATGTCTTATCTTGTCATGAATGGGCAAGCACCATATCTAAATTTCACTATTTTTACATTTTGTTTTCAGCTGAAATTTAGCTAAGGTTTTAATATGCAAGAAAATAAACTAACGAATGAATAAAGACTACATTATAACTGAGCAAAAGACCGAAAGTTTTACTTTATATTAACTTGCATGCATTCAGAAATGAATCATACAACCTTTCAGTTTTTGTTGTGCAACACATATTATATCATTTAAAAGGATAGTTCGCCAAAACTGAAAATTCTGTTATAATTTACCCACCCTTTACTTGTTTTAAAACGGTTTGACTTGCTTTCTTCTTATGAACACAAAATAGTTATTTTGAAGAAAGCTGAAAATCTTTAACCACTGACTTCTATAGTATTTGTTTATCCTACTATGGAAGTCAAAGGATAAAGCTTTCTTAAAAATAACTTGTTTTGTGTTCAACAGAAGACAGAAACTTATAAAGCTTTGGATCATCTTGAGAGAGAGTAAATGTTTGTTTTAGGGTGAACTATCCCTTTAAAATCGAGTGGCAAAGCAAGAGAGTGAAAAGGGTGTAAACGCCAATGGTCACATCTAGTATTTTTCAGCCAATGATGAACTTCAGGTGAAAGCTTAATGTGACTATTTTCAATTTTATATGGTTCCTTTCAATTTCATCCATCAATGTTGTATTGTCATTAAATACATTCAACGAAATAGACTTTAGCTTTCATTTGGTTGTTAAAGTGTAAAAAGAGACGAAAGACCGTTTAAACACAGACACCATCATGAGCAGCAGGCTAGAGCAGTAATTACATAGAAAATACTGGGGTAAAATTAATTTCATATTTTAAAGACATGGCGTGGAAAAATATGATTTGCTTTTTGTTTGGTCTGATACCCACTTTATATCGTATCTCAGCCAGGCAATGAAGATCACTGTTTTTTTAAAGGAATCAATCTTAAATGCGGCCCTTGGGCTAGCTTACTGAAATGAAAAGTCTTTGTGCATATACCCCATTTTGATTTAGATAGTATTATGCGTAATATATATGATCAAATGTGTTTTTAACCATCTCTGCAAATGTTGAAAGTGGATCAGCTAAAACGCTTTAGACTTAAACCATAGGTGTAAATGGGTTCTGAGTAAAACCCAATAAAAAAATAATAATAATATTAGTAATAATAATAATAATAATAATAATAACAATAATAAAGGTAACAAAGTGTAAGAAAATTCATATTTTACCTGTGACTGAGCTGGGTAAGGTATTGGCTTTCTTCAAGTTGTCACGTCGCTCAAAGCGAGCCAGGAGTGTGTCTGGTCTTTTATTTTCATCTGCTGTTTGATGCTTGGATATGATGCTGGAGCTCCCATTGCCTTTATCCTCAGTGGGACTGCTTCCAGCCTTTCAGATAAAGAAACAACAACACCAAATTCTATTAATACAGAGGAGTTCATTTTTTATAATATTATACTGCGCCCTCACTAGTTTTCATGTGACAAAATAGTTTGCATCTATCAAAGCTCAAGAAGGTGGAACTAGCAACTGACTTCCAGAAACAAGAGTGAGAACTTTTGCTATAAATTCACAAAGCAATATTACAATTATGTATACAGTACTAACAGGGTAGCTAATGAATGATAATACACTATGGGACAGTGCTTTTGTTAATACATACACTTTCTCTGTCCCTAGCTTGTTTCTCAGCCAGTTTAGCCTCTCTCTGGTTCCTCCTTTCCTCTCGGTTTTGCTGCTGTTCCCTAAAGCCTTTCTGTTTTTGCAGTGCCAGAGTGATCCAAAGTGGTCCTGTCTCTTTGTCCTGTGATCGTGAGCTGTCCAGAGAATGCCTGGCCTGCAGAGATGGTTTTTCTGATAAGGAGAAGAAATGCAGAAGGTCTGTTAAATTGGCAATAAAGACTAAGGGTGTACTCACACTATGCTATCTGAACCGTGCCCATGCCCGTGTCCTGGATCGTTTGATAAGTGTGAGTGCTCTGAATCGGGCTCAGGCACGGTTCACTTGGCTGGCCCTGGCCCGGTTGGAAGAGGTGTGCCTGAGCGCGGTTTACTTGGGTGTGGTACGCTTGTAGTGTGAGTGCAAAGCATGCCTGAGCCCGAAACTGAAGGCGAGATGGACTTTTAACATACTGTTTCATATGGATTAATTAATCATTCTTACTGTTCTATGAACGCAAACTGCTGTAGTTTATTAAAGACACAAACCCCTCACTGCATGACAGCTGCACCTTTAGCAAACCTCCTAATTCCTGCAGCACGAAGACTTTATGATTGTTTATGAGCGTCAAAAGTGGCTGATCTGTTCAGTGAAATATTTGACTGCGTCACAGCATATCAAACGACTAAAACGATATAAAGAAATGTCCACTGTGCTGAGCGAGAGCGATTCTTAAACTGAACAGTGCATTATCGACGACGTAAGCATGCTCAAGCCCGAATGCCATGTGAGGGCGGGCCGTCGAGGGAAATGGGAGGGGACAAGTGTGCTTCGGCCCGGTTCAAGGCAACTGTACATAGTGTGAGTAAGCCCTAAAAGACAATTTAGAGTCCTCTTTTCCTGTCTACAATGACAGTAATAATCTTAATTTCCCAAAGGAAATATCAGTGCTTATAAGACAGGAATATTGGTTAAGGGGCTGATCTTTTATGTATATGAAATGTGAGGTTTGAAAGCCAGGCCTTATGGATAAACGGGTGCAAAGAAAGAAAATACACCTTAAATCAATATGCAAATAGAGGCAAGAAAGTTGGCTAAACAATTAAAAATGCAAATTAATTGATTACAATTGTTTAAATTAAGTCTGCATGTTAAGCAGTTGGAACTGAAATAATAGGAGAGTGTTTTAAAGAAATATCAATAGATTGCTGCTTTGGAAGCATTATTGTGACATTAAAGATGCAGTTACAGCTCAGGTACAGTAGTTGAGTATTTCAAACCTTTTTTGATGAGTTCTGTTCTGCGATCTGTTTTTTCTCTCCATGGGATGCTAATGGATGGAAAAAATGACTTCTTTTCTTTAACATCCTCCTCTCCTTGTCCACTTTTCTGTGATGGTCCAGATGCTGTAACTCCTCCTTTATGATCACTGCCTTGCTCAGTAGCTACCTGTTCTGCTTCCCCAGTCCTTTGTGAAATTGTGTCTCCTGAAGTCCTTCTACCAGGTTTTGGAAGAGGAGAAAGTAGAGGTGTGGCACCTTCAGATGGTTTGGGGGAGGTAGCAGGTTTTTGGTAAAGTGGAGGTTTGGGGGACATGTTGTCACCTTCGGTGCGTGCCAAAGGGAGAGTACTTCTGCTAAACTTACTACGAGATTCTTTACTGGGTGCAACTGTGGTTTGAAATTCAATATTCTCTTGTTGTGGAGAAATGGGGCTAGATTTTTCAGAGAGTGTAGAATTGTCAGAGTCTTGGTCAATGGCCGTCAGGGGCACTGGGACTCCTTCAAAACTGTCTCCTGCACTGTACCTTTTCTTCTTCTTTTCTGCAGATTGTTCATTGTGGAAGCGAAGAGAATAGTTTGTTCTTCTCAATTTGATTCCAAAAGGGGATGGCTGCTCATCACCACCCTGTGCTTTCTGTTCCCCATCTTCATCTTTTGTATCTGAATCTTCTGATTCTGCCTGAATTGGGGAGCCACTCTCAGATCTCTGGGACTTGGGAGATCCATGTGGTGGACTAGGAACAAGGAATGAGGGAAGGTCTTTGGCAAACATGCACTCTTCGTCTGCAATGCGGACAAGCTTGCTTCCCCTACTCTGGACCTTAGTACCTAAAGAGGGCAACTCTTTTTGGACAGGGGAAGTTTCTGTAAATGCACTTTCTGTTTTCACACCTTCTTCCTGACCAAAAATCTCAGAGTTTCTGTTGGAATCAGCAAATTTTTTTCTGGCTGGCGTGATGGAAAACTTCGCACTGGCTGACATAGTTTTCCTGAGGTTGGTGTGAGAGAATGGCACTGTATTTAGATCTTCACTTGTTGGCCTGCGACTTTGATCTGTGTATTCAGGATATTTTCCCTCTTCAGCACCTTTAAAAATTTTGGACCTAATACTTGCCCATTCTGCCAGGACAGCAGCGTTGGATTGATCTGTAGACAAGGAAGACTCAAATACGGATTTGGTTTTTCCAGATTTACGATCTGGAGATGTCTTGCTCTTGGATGGAGGAGTGCCCATGGCCTTTTTGCCTTCAGAAAGGCCAAGAAGTGACTTGCAAGCTGTGTCCTTGATCTGATCGAGATTAACTGCAGTTCCACAAAGCTGGGCTCCTGTCACAAGAATTGCAGTATGCGGGACATAAAGAGAAGAAGACAGAGTTGGTGAATCTGGCCCTCCTGGTGAAGAAGCTTTAGCTCCCTCCCAAGTTTCAGCAGTTGTTTCACCCTGTTGGCCAGTTGCTGGAGTAACAGGCGTGAGATTGACCTTCTGGAAGAGTATCTGCTTCTCACCCGAAGAGACTTTAAAAGTGAAGGGTCTCTGTCTCTCCTCCATCTCTCTCCATCTCAGTTCCTCTGCTTTTCTTTTCCATTCAGGGTCAGTAGATCCAGCTTTCTCTTCTTGCAGTTGTCTCTTTCTTTCCTCTTCCTCTAGTCTTTTTCTCTCTGCTTCCTCTTGTCGACATCTTTCTTCTTCACGAATGCGATGTTCTTCCTCTCTCAGCCTTTTCTCTTGTAACTCTTGAATCCTGCGTTTCTCTGCCTCCTCCTCCTCTTTTCTCCTTCTCTCTTCCTGTTCTCTTTTTCTTTCCTCTTCCAGACGAAGACGCTCTGCCAAAAGTTCTTGTTGCCTTCTTTCCTCTTCTGCTCTTTTTCTTTCTTCTTCTTCTTTCTTCATTCTTTCCTCCTCCTCTTGTCTCTTTCGCTCTTCCTCATGTCGTAATCTTCGCTCTTCTTCTTCTCTCCTCCTTTCCTCCTCTTCCCTTTTTTTCCTCTCTTCTTCCTCTCGTTGCTTCCTCTCCTCTTCCACTTTTTGCAGCCTTTCCTCTTCCTGTCTGCGTCGCTTCTCTTCTTCTAACCTCTGCTCCTCAATCATCCTCCGGTGTTTTTCCATCTTTCTCTCTTCCTCTTGTTCTCTTTTCTTTATCTCAAGGTGTTCTTTCTCTTCCTCATGAAATCGTTGCCTCTGTGATTTTTCAGTAGGTTCATAATCTTCTTTACTTCCATGGATAATACCATAATCCTCTCTTGATGAATCAAACACTTCCTCATCCTTTTCAAATTCTTCTTGAATTTCAGAGAAATCATCTTCATGAAACTCCTGAAATATATTCAAAGTTACAGAACTTAAAACCCTAATACTTTTGAGTTATAGTTCACAGTAGGGATGTCACAATATTCAATATAATAATAAACTGTTCGGTATGAACTCCATGGTTCAATACACTTATTAAAATTGTGTTTTTCTCATTCCTTTAATTACTCTCTGATTGGGCCCTGTGCATGTATAGAATGAATGCCCATGCAATATCTCATCACTGAGCACTCAGGGTATGGACTCTTTCATGTGAAAACTAAAAAGTTACGTGTGCAGCTTGTCAGTGCATGTGGGACCAGAAGCCTACACTGTTTGTTGCTATTCCTGTTTAAACTAAATTTCCAAGCTTTTTTTATTTAAACATTGAACCTTAAACCCTGAAGAGAACTCGCGCAGGACATCTTAGAAATGCACATATGAAATAAATGAAAGTTATAATGCACAAAGTCTAGCTTCTCAGTGGTAAAATTTAATTACAGTATAAGCATTAATTAATATGAACGTGCCAAACTTGATGAGTATTCAATCGGTTAAGTCGTATAACGTAAACATTAGAGAAACATTGTTTGATTGTAACTTTCTTAGTGTGATGTATTTTGTCTAAATGTGAAAACGTCTTATACCTGCCGTCTGTGCTTTTAATATTAATCAAACTACAAAAGACAATGAAATAACTATTGACTAAATAATATTGCTTAATTGTTTTTTAATTTCTATAGTGATAAGCATATACAATATGCAGTGTTGTTTGATTATATTCATATTATATAAAATCTATTTTGCTTGTTTTTCCTCTATTTTTATTTGACAGTGTCATGTTTTTATACTGAACCTGTATACCGAACCAAACCAAAACCATGACCCGAAAACTGCAACGTGAACAATCTGTATTGTTGCACCCCTATTTCACATAAATTCAAATATACTCACAATTTATAAAATGTTATGTTTTTTTTAAATAACTTTTAATAGAAGATAAATAAAAAATGTACCAGTGTTTTTCCACATACACTGGAAGTCAATGTGGTCCAGTGTTGTTTTGGACCTCACAATCAAAATTTTATAAAAAAATATAATGAAACTTGGAACTACATCAGAATGAGTAAATCATTTTTTTCAGCAAACGATCATCTTAGCATATCTTTATCTATCAAATCAATCCCAGCTATTCAGCTTACATATAAAGAACACCTTTGCCCTTTACCTGTGTGAATCTTCTATGTTTTCGAGACACCCTCTGGTTCTTCGGTTTGACAGACAGTTTGTGTTTGGCAGCAGTGTTGTCCAAGCGTGGGACAGACTGAGGGACAGCATCTAGATTGATAGACTCAATTGTGCCAGGGGGAGGTGGGCGCTTGGTGCGTGGGGATTTGACCGGAGTCCTATGCTGGACAGTGTCATGGCTGACAGACTATGTGTACAGAAAAACACAAACAAATTCAATAGGTAACTATAGGTCAACAGAGCTCTGAAGTGTGTGTCTATTGAATCAATATATCGATAGTTGGACAGTTTTACAATTTCCTGCAGCTTAACTAGAACATGGCTTTCAATAAAAGTGCCTGCCAAATGCATAAAGGTTCTGTACATTTTGGCAAGCAAAGGGATCTTTATTTTTTTACAACATTACACAGTGTTTCACAACACTACTCACTAAAACAGAGCAATGGTGGCTACCTTTCACAGATAGCTGTGGAAATGGATGGTCAACCCTGTTCCTGGAGGTCTACCTTATTGCAGAATTTAGCTCCAATCCTAATCAAACACAACTAAACCAACTAGAAGGAGCACTTGGTAATTTAAATGGGGTGTGTTTGATCTAGGTTGCAGCTGAAATCTCAGGAAGGTAAATCTCCAGGAACAAGGTTGGACACCCATGGTCTAAGCCAGGGGTGTCCGAACTCAATTCTGGAGGGCCGGTGTCCAGCAAAGTTTAGTTCCAAACCAAATCAGACACACTTGGGCTAGCTAATCAAGCTCTAACTAGGCTTTCTAGAAACATTGTTGCAGCTGTGTTGAGGCAAGTTGTAGCTTATATCTACAGGACACCAGCCCTCCAGGACCAAGTTAGGACACCCCTGGTCTAAGCTAATGTAGACACTGTGAACTTACTTTTTCCTTGGCTGATGTCTCCGGTGGCTCATTCTCCACTTGAGCAAGAACTCTCAATGGACTTTGTGGTACCTCTTCCTCATCTGAGCTGCCTTCATCTCCCTCACTCTTTCTAAGTGAAGGGGGTCTCTGACCAAATTTTATATTATGTCCAATTTGCTTCTATCAACAAAAGTATAAATAGTCAGGGAATATGCAAACAATGCCTCCTGTTTCATTCACTCAAAGTGACTTATAAATGAGGATTACAGAAGCAACAGCAATAAGTAGCAGGTGTTGATGAAGAAGATGAGTATTAAGTTCACACTTAATACTTTTGTTTAAATTTTATTGGCAAAATTTGTGTTAGGAAAGTTTGACGAATGAATTTGTTGGTGTGCATATAAGTCTCACCTGAATGTTTCTGACTTTGTCGGAAACGTTCTCCTGGGACATTGTCTGTCCTGGATGTGTCTTCTCAGAGTCCTCAGGGATAAATACACTCTCGTGTGAAAAAGCTCGGGACCCAAGGGTGTTTGACTCCCTGTGAACAGATTTAAACTCTATAAATGTTTTCAATACACAATATGGCTCATAAACAAATTTGTCAGCATGTAAACTAATAACATTTTACATACATTCTGAATGATAAAAACAGTTTTTACCTTAAATACTGATCATTCTCTTGGTTAGCTGAGTCCACCCCATTGCAGACATCATCAGTGGAATGACAAGGTTTAAGTTCAGTTCCCTCAAACGCACGTTCTGCTTCTCTCCTTTTCTTTTTCCCAAATAGACGCCGGAATGGCTGGAATTTGCCCTGCCGTCGCCGCTCTGGTAAAAAAATGGAGTTGGTTGGGGGAAAGCATAATGATAAATAGTCATTAAGTAGTAAAAGACCAGTGCTTCTGCTGTTTAAATATAACAATATGCTTAAAATCTTTTAATAATGTTAATGATAATGTAGGACCAAAACAGATCAGAGGCCATGAAGTTGGGTTAAACCAAGTCCTGTCACAGCCTTATATAATTATGGTAAGCAGATGTTCTGTTTAAACATTCAGTAATGTCAAGGTCCTGTAAAGCCCAGTCTTGAAAGGCAATCACAGAAGAACGAGAAAGTCATCAATTCAAGGCCAACTGCCAAATGTAAAGATGATTTAAATTTGTGACAATAGCCACACAAACATTACTTTACCATCATAACACATTCAGACCCCCCACCCCCAAAATTATACTTTATATGATATTAGTATTTTAAATATTTTCCCAAAACATTACATACTCCAAGGACGTAATTTAGTTAATAAACATGAATATGTCTGCATATTGACGAACCATTGCAGTATGCGATATTAATCTAAAAGTGGATGTTTATGCTAGTCAATTCAATAAAAAAACATCAATGTAACATTTATGATGTTGATTTGTTTTAATTAAATATAGTTTTTTGTCATTTAGACTATTCTTGAGAAATCATGAGTAAATATCAATTCAATAAATAAATTTGCACAAATTCAAATAACATTAAATTACATTAATTGCAGTAAGGTTAATACTGATTATATGTTTTTATAAATGTAATACAATGGACATATTTTAATATATATAAAATAACAACTGTGTGGACTTTACATAAACTTGACTATCCTGAACATATGTTGCATCATCAGGAGCACTGCAATCCATGTGTGATGAGCAATTAATCATGACACTCAGTTGACAAAGCAACTGCTAAATTTGACCTCTATGGATGACTCAAATAAAACTTTAGACCAAAACAAAAAACTTGTATTGGAAAGTTTTATAACTTATTCAAGGGTTAGTATTACACTTTGAGGAAGTTGGTTTCTCATGATTTAATAACACATCTCAGCTTTCTCATTATTGCTTTTTAAACTATTTAAGAGGATATGTATTCGGAAAAATGCTGTACAAACAAATTCAAGCTCAACTGGGTTGTAGGTTGTTCTTAATGATAGATAAGCTGGTGTATCTTTTACCCATTACTTGCAATGACAACCTATCACAAAAGTACAAACAGCTAATTACGAATCCATACAAAACAACCCAAACACTGTTTAAAAAAACCTGTAACAATAATTTTTCCACCTACCATTTAAAGTGTAAATCTGCAGTTGCCAAGTGCCTCTTACAAGACAGAATCATACGGTTCCCATGTAACGGCATTAAACCAATGATAAGACAAGGGACCTTTGGTTTGTATTGAGTGCTGTGGAGAGGCACCACTTCCTGAGACTAGAAAGTCATTAGGAATCATAAATGCTACGGTGATAAGAGTAGCTCAGAAAGCAAGGGTTACGAATAAAATTATACCAAATAAAAATTGAGATGCATATGAGTCAAAGACAAATAGGGGTTTAAGCATCAAAGCAAGTGTAATACACAATTGTATATTTTTGTATTATGTCTATGATTTACAGGCATCAAATAAAAGGTCAATTGTTATTATATAAGACAATTATTTGATGTCAATAAGAATTGAGTTTAAAAACTCAAAAATAATTCAATTTTAAAATGAATTGTCATCTAAAATATATATACTTTGCCACTATCCTTACTCATTAGTCGAGAAGACAATTTTAATCCTGTATAATATAACATAATTATGTATTATCAATTATTCTTTTACCATATATGTTGCTGAGGGAACCTTAGTTCGATCATATCTTGACATTTACCTTCACAGAAGTAATTTGACTTCTAATATTAATTTTATGCAGACAACAAAATTGGATGTCTTGTATTTCCTTCACATGTGGCTCTGAATTATGTTTATACCGGCCAACAGGTCCTTTTTTGATCTTTCTAAAGCTATAAAAGTCATAAAACACTCTACCAAGCAATAGCCAAACATCTCCAGACCATATTTTCCTCTAAGTGTGTGTGTTTGACAGCCTTTTTGTGTTGTAGGAGCTCCAAGTGAAATGGCTGGGGTGATAGGGCCACTCTACACCACGGAGTGGATAAATTCAGCTAGAGATCAGCAAGGATCTGTTACAGGCTAAAAGTGGAAAGTAGTGTGGAGTTACACTGTAAGTGTGTTACTGCTCAAAACACAATAGCACAATAACAAAGAAAGTAAGACGTTTGCTACCTGCCGTCCGTGCCCACTTCTGTTGTTGTTGTTCTGATGTTAATTCCTGAAGTTAAAGCAAGACTGTACTGCTTTACGTGTGCATATAACTAGATGGTTTTATGATTCCTCATATTTTGTCTGGTTGGTTCCCCCCTCAAAGTTTCACGTCTGTTCCCAGCTGCTACTACTCCATTTCTCTGGCCCACAATGCAGTGCTGCAGGCGTCCTCAGTCATCGAGGCATATGATGCGAGTGGACAGCACTCAGCCAGAGAAACAGCCCTCGATGTGTCTCCCTTGTACTTTTACACACTACAACCACTAAACGCTCCAGCATGGCCTTCGTGCTCCTACGAGTGTCAGGACTGCTAAATAAATTCACTCAGACCTGGCTGTTCCTCTCAGTCCTTCACCAATGCTAAAACACACTTAATAACACAAGCGTACTCAACCTTGATTCTCACTTGTGACACACAGTATTGCTCACTAAAACTGGAAGGCTAATAAATCATTTTTGTTGCATTCGTATGTAATTGTAATTGTTCCCCTCACACTTAAAATCTTGACATTAGTACATGATTAATTGACACACTTATCAGGAAAATTCAGGATTATCAGTGTGTTCCACTTGTCAGCATGTCTGTCATATCTATGAAAACAGATTCAAACTAAAGAAAGCCACTGACAAAAAAAAAGAGGGGAATTAGTCACAGAAGGTGCAGTAATAGTTAAACATGGTCGTAAAGATTGAGTGCACAAGGTTCACTGGAAAAGGTGTGTAAACCTGGACAACAACAACAATAGCACGTGATAAAGTCATATTCAAAGGAATAATTTACACTGAAATGATAATCATTTACTCTTGCTCGTTCTTCTAAATTTGTATGACTTTCATTGTTCTCAGAATCAAAAACAGACAATTTTTACAGTACTTCATAAAGTGGTGGTGAATGAACACTGGAGCGTTTAAATATATATATATTTTTTTTGGTGGGAAAATTAAAAGGATGACATTTATGCAGATTCCTGACAACTTCGTTCAGGATTATTATGTCATGCAAAGACTTTACGCTATATCAGTGTTTGGGGAAAGTACTTTAGAGAGTAATGCATTACAATATTGAGTTACTCTCCTAAAAAGTAACTAGTTACGTTACTTACTTTTTATGACAAGTAATGCCCTACATTACTTTTTCTTACCGACTTTCTTCTCGTTTTTTAAATTTTTTTTATTTATTTACCTTAAAAACACATTGAAAACTAATCATGTAGGATAATATTGTCTTCTGAGAACTTCCACAGCCAAGAGATTAATAAACGTTTAAAGCAATGTGTTTGCAGCATTTTGTGCTTTTTGTCTTATTAGTGAAGTCCAAACCATTTTCAAGAGCATTTTTTTTTCTTCCATGTCTTCAAAATAATGAACGCATTCTCTCATCTCAATTTTAACTCAACAATTTACTTTTAAAAAGCTAATTATTTATTTATTCAATAATTTATTCATTTTCTTTTAGGCTTAGTCCCTTTATTAATTATATAATTATTAAATATTATTATAAATGGACCGCCAACTTATCCAGCATATATTTTACACAACGGATGCCCTTCCAGCTGCAACGCATCACTGGGAAACACCCATACACTCTTGCATTCACACACAGACTACAGACAATTCAGCTTACCTAATTCACTTACGGCACATGTTTTTGGACTTGTGGGGAACACTGGAGCACTTGGAGAAAACCAACTTGGGGAGAACATGCAAACTCCACACAGAAATGCCAACTGACCCAGCCAGGGCTTGAACTAGTAACCTTCTTGCAGTGAGGTGATTGTGCTACCCACTGCGCCACCGTGATGCCAAAAGCTAATTAACTAAACTTGCCTTACATTTTTTTAAGTAACTCAAATTTTAATACTTAATATTTAAAAGAGATGCATTACTTTACTCGTTACTTAGAAAAGTAATGTTACTACGTAAGTCACCCAACACTGATCTTTAAAGCCTATATACTGCAGTCTCAAATTTACTTTATAATTATAAGTATACAAGTAAAAGTGCTATAAAAACAACTTCCCAATGTCAATAAAACACTTTTATTTGACAAGAATGTGATATTTAGAATGAATGGGGTGGTTTTGTATGACAAAACAAGTAAAAGCACAGCTAAATAGAGTAAAACAGATACAATCTAAATAAACTGCATTGTTTGTCTGTGGACAGAACTTACTGCTTCCAGTGTGATGCTTAAAATATTTATATATACTGTGCAACCCTATAATAGTGTAATCTTAATTACCTCATCTATCAACATGACAGTGAAAATGTAATAGTTTGTTTATTGACTGGCCTCCGTTGTCACCAATAATTAGTTTTAGGTCTAGCTCCATTTATTGTTTATCTGCAAAGATTTGACACAAAAAAATCCAGCCATTTCATTATGCTAATCATTATTGCTAACGTAACTACACCTTTAGAATTCATCAAATAAATCACATCAGGTTTTTTTTTTTGTCTTTCTGAAGCTCCAGTGCTCATTCACTGTGACTGCTTGATAAATAATTTCCACACCAATCATTAAAAATTTCCCATTTTGTGTTCTACAGAAGAAAGTCATATTTATAAAGATGTGGGTGATTAACTATTGATCATTTTTGTATGAACTATTCCTTTAAAGACACACAGGCACAGCACACAATTTGAAACACCACACACTTCTTAAAGAAACAGTGCTGAATAGTCTGAAAAATAAGAAAAACGTAGTCTTTGATGCTTTTAATTTACTGCACTGTGACTTTAAGAGCAGGCCTGTTCTCAGAAAAGCTCACACTGTTGTTGTTTACCTGTGGTTTGGGATACTGTTACCTCTACCAGCTCCTCAAGCTGAGCCTCCTTACTGTCCATTGACATGCTTTACGACAGGCTGCAGCATGGGTAAAGTGGAGTAAATGTGAGCACAGAGGCTTTTTCTCATTGATGTGTTTGTGTGTGCAAGTCTGAAAAGAAAATGGAAGCAGGAGATGACAATAATAGAAGAAAGAGAGGATTACAGAGATCATGAAACACTTCTCTGTGTACATTTCACATTTCACTTCCCCTTTTTAGCCTTCAAACTCTCATTTTTGTTTAGTGCTTTGTTTCTGTTTTAATTTTATAATCTCTTTGAGCTAGTCTACCTTTAGTCCTGGGCTTATTTCTTGTCATCTCTTGGCTGCAAAAAACAGGGTAATTTCTTTCTCACAACAGTGGGAATTTGCTAAGAATTGGAGAGGGGTCTGGATCCAGACCTGGTGCAGTGCAATCTGGGCTGCCCCCGATGTTTTTTAATGTGCTTATCTAACCCAACCCCTAAGCCAACCCCTCAGAGTGACATCACTAGCTCCATTGAGTGCATTGTGTCTGACATTGCATCACTGAGATATGCTATCTCAGCTTTCATCATCAAAGCAGCATCCAGATACTATTGCAGAATTTGGGAAAGCAATTTCCCATCTTGCAGGCTGATCACAAACCTGTGCTTTACATAGGACTGTAAACTTGACTTGGTTGCACATGAGTCAAGACATATGCCAGTCTCTTTGGTCATAATTTAATAATGTACTGCAGCTCTGGTTGATAATTTTCTTTGCATAAAGATTGTGTAAACAAAATCCTGTTTTTTATGTAATATGTAACTTTAATCTTGTGAAGCTTAAAAAACATCTAAATTTTCCACATCAGATCAGGTTGTGTGTATTTACAATCAGAAATATGGTGCTTGAATGTTGCACTGCTGCCTCTAATGGCAAATATATCATACTGCCCATAGTAAATGCACACCCTGATGGCCTGTGAGGCAAACTAAGTATATTTTACGGTTTTATTTGGCACAATAAGTGCTCTTTAAGCTTCATATGATTACAGTTGACCACTGAAGACACATGTAATGTTTTGACAATGTTTTGGTTTCTTTTCCAGACTTTGAACATCTTTAGATTGTCACTGTCTATGAAAGATCTCTCAGATTTCATCTGAAATGTCTTCGTTTGTGTTTTGAAAATGAATTTGGAACGATATGTGGGTGAGTAATTCATAACAGAATTTAAATTTTTTGGTGACATAACCCTTCAACTATTGAATTGGTTTTTTATATGCTATGTAGTTGTATGCATATGTAGTTGTCATTTGGCAAGCAATATACAATAAAGACTTTGGATACCATAAGACATTAGATGCCATGCCATTTTTAATTATGATATTAGATTCTGATAATCCTTTGATAATAATCAGCTGACTGTATAGAATTAATAAAATAACAAAGAGCAGAAATTAGTTAAAGTGCTAAAATGACTAAAACTGAAAAAAAGCATTGAATAATAAAATGAAATTTGAAAATGTGAGTAAACTAACTGCAAAATAAATAATAAGAAATTACTATATTGAAGCTGCTTGTCAAAGCATCAGTAATTTAGTTTTTCTAGTGTGCATGCATACTATTCCAAGCTTCTTACTTTCCAGTCTGATCTCACAAGTAAACATAATTGTTTATCATATTGTCAGAAAACTGGCTTAGTTGTACAAATTCATAAAATTTTATTTGTGCAAAACATTCTGCGTGCCCCCAAACCTCACACTTAATTAACTAAGGAATGAGTAAATTGTACTGAAATGTATGGATGAGCTCATACACATCCATATAAAATAACCCATAAATTAAAAAATTACGATTTGCAGTGAGATTGCATTTCCTGTTTGTGTGTCAGTATTTGTATATTAGTGTGTAATTCCAGTCTATATCTATAATAAACACTGCTGGTCAGTGCACAGTGCATTATCGCATCAGTCAGTTCCTGGTCAGCAATATGTGCATGATTAAAATGAATGCCTATTTAAAAAGCACTTTGTCTTCCATTTTATGTTAATGGGTTCTCCATATGAGTAACTGCAAGATGAAGCTAAATGTGAATTTTGTCAACAAATTATAACTGATTAAGTTCAAATACTCCTGTAAAATGTACTGTATGCCTAAGTTATATTGGGTAATACTAATTTCACCAGTCCTGAATTAAAGCAAACAAGGTTTCTTCCGTATGCTTCTGGGACTCTACATATGTTCAAAGGACAAAAAAAAGCCAAGATTTAAAATGTCATTGTCATTGGTTAACAAAACACATTGCCTCAAAACCTGCATTCCTTCTGGCAGACAAAAACCTTTTGGCAGCACAGCATTGCACTGCTGTTAAACACAAAAAACTGTAAATGATTACAGCCTTGTGTCATCCGTATGCACGAGTTTGTTTTGTTCCCTTTGTGTAAGAAGACAGTGTCCTCTAACGGCTCGCAGGGTCATTCTGAAAGTCTCACTGTGTGAAAAGGCTCAGCTGTGAGGAGAAAAGCTTCATTTGAATAGATCAACGTGTGTGTGTTTGTTTGTGATGCCCATCCAGATGTGTTTGTGCACCTGCGACACGAGTGTACATGTGCTTTAAACTGTGACCATGTTTGTCATGTTCTGACTCACATGCGCATGTTAGTGAATGATCGTGTTTGTGTTGTGCGGGTGAAAGAGGAAGCACCAGACAAAACGATGATGGCAAAAGCACAAGACGCAGCCACATGCACTGCAGCAGGACTCTGAAAACACCCTAGAAAAGCCTGCAGTATGTTAGCGCTAGCTGCTACGGTGCTAATTTATCTCACTGCTGAAGTTTAATTCTAGAAACTGACCTTACTACTAGGCTCAGTGAGCAGCTCTACCCTTTATCACAAACATCTAGCCCAGACCTGCCTCTGTTTGATCAAACCAGTGGGCATTAAAATGGACTCTAAGTGGATTCCTGAAAAATGTTCCTCTAATTTCTGAACCTGAAAGCTATCTGGCTTATTATTGTAAGTCATAAGATATTTCATAGTTGCCCTAAAAGATTTTGAAAAGCCAATACAGCACATCCACTGAGTGGTCTTACGTATCACAAATAGTATTCATGACAGATAATGATATGCTAGTGATCTTCTGTAGAAGCTAATGGCTAAAGTTAGTGACCAAAGTCACATACAATACTGTTCAAACATTTTGAAGTAAATACGTTTTTCTTTTTTTGAAAGAAATCAGTACTTTTATTCAACAAGGATGCATTACATTGATTAAAGGTGGCAGTAAATGTTATAATACAATCTTGGTATAGATCAAACAATCTACAAAGAAGTATTCAAAAAGATGAAAAGTCTAAGTTGTTTTTGATATAGCTTTGTGAAGAAGTTTGACTAAAAGGCTGACTTTCCAGAAGTTATCTTACAAATAATAGCATTAATTAAGCAACATTTCTGCTGCAAAGGACGCAGACACTATTTTAAAGGGCACCTGAGATGAAAATTATCTTTTGTAAGCTGTTTAGACAGAACTATGTGCAGGTATAGTGTGCCCACAGTCATATTGAGGTGATTTAAAGGCAATGAGTCTTTTTAATTTCCTGACGTTAAAATAGGATCCAAATCCCTCCCATTTTGAGGACCACAGCAACATGACGTAGGAGTGCGGTTTCCCTGCCCACCAAATTGATTTACAGCCACGTATTAACATGTTTCTGTAGTAATGCGTATAATCATATCAACAAGACAGGATCAGCGCAAAGCATCTAAGGTTAAAAGATCTGTTTAGCTCGCTGTGATCATCAATCATCATCAACTGTGATCAAGAATGGGTTTTATAAGTATAAAACGTTTTTACAACAGTGCATGTTTGTGATAAATTACAACAATTTTACCATCTATTACCACAGCAGCATGTCAGTACAATTATAAAAGCAGACGCTTCTATCCCTCCACAACAAATACATCAAATAATTATTGGTAAAGGTCTTACTCTAGTATTTCTCACAAACATTACGTGAGATCTGCTTCCTTCATGTCTGTCACTGTGCTGGTTATTAAACCGAGGTGGAGATTAAGGCGCTGTTTACACTAATGTGTTTCAGTTTTAAAACGACATTTTAGAATGAAAAAGATCTGCTTCCACACTGGCGTTTAACCTAGCATTTTTGAACAACTTTCTGTCCACATTACACTGCTGAAAACGCACATCACGTGACCACATACACACACACTCTGGCATGCACTGCAGCGATGAGAGCTGTGATGTCAGACTGTTCATCAAGGATAGCTTGTTTTGGCTGAGCACAAAGATATGACAACATATTAATTCATGTAACCATGTTATGTTTGTATTGTCAAGGAAAATGAAAGGAGGCAATTGTGTTATAGGCTTCGTTTGTTAAAATATGCATACAGCGAAGATGACGATCATCTAAATATGTACCTACATGACGCCTCAACTTGTCTGTTAAGTTGCTAATATAAAAATGAAAATAGGCAGTTTGTCATATCATGTTTTCATTTTATAGTTAAGAAAGTGAAACAACATATCCAGGGTGATGCGAATGAGACTATAAAGTACACTCACTTTTCCCTTTGAAGATTTACCCGACGTGTCCTCTGGAGTTTGTTTTCCATATCAAACTTGCGAAGTCTGAACTCACAAGGAGAGGATGCAAGACTGAACTTTGTTAGGCCACTTAATATTGAGGAAAAAGCCCCAATCAGACAGCAAATGTCAGCAGCCCTGCCTCCGTTTTCAGATGTCTCCGTTTTCCCCCATCCACACTGACACGGAGCAGTAGCGTTTTAAAAGGAAAACGGCCTCTTCAGCATTTTCAAAAAGTTAAATTTTCAGGGCTTGAAAACTCCGGGGTAGTGTGGACGGATAGTGTAACAGTAACAAAACTTATGCGTTTTCAAACTAAAACTTATTAATGTAAAAGGGGCCTGAAGCACACTCTGACAGGCACGTGGGAACGGTGAGCAAGGAGAACTAGAATTAAAGGCACAGGCCACAAAAACAGCTACAATGTGTTCATAGCAGGAAACCTAACATTCCGAAAGGTATAATGAATAATCTGATGGGTGTTTTGAGCTGAAACAGTACAGACACATTTTGGAGACACAAAACACTTACTGTATCTTAAAACTTGAAAAAGGCATAAAATAGGTGCCCTTTAAGTTACACTGTAAAAAATTATCTTCTCTAGTAAATTGCATCCATCAAACTGACTAAAAATATTAAGTTAAAACTTTATATAAGTTTAAAAAAAAATTGTTGAAACCTGATTAACTTAAAAATGTAAAAATATATGTTGCCTTGCGTGTACATGTAAACTACAAATATAGTCTAAATTAATGTATTTCAGACAAGAATTACAATCTCACTAAAACATTTCCTAGCAGATAAGATTTCCTTCTATATTGATTCCCATGCAGAGCTGAAAACAACATGAGCTTATTACATTAACAACAGTAACATTTAAGGAAGTTCTTATATATCCAGATCATCAGCGCTGCATCACATGCCAGATGATGATGTGAGTCGGAGCAGTAAACACAAGCTACATTGCAACAGAGCTTAAAGCTGACAGTAATGCCTTGCACATTAAGCAAATCACACGTAATGCAAAATGATCTTGAGCCATATACTATTATTATGAAAGCAAGCTATAGCTTCACTAGTACAATGAGGAGGCTTGAAAGTGCAGCAAGAAATCACTGAAGCAAAATGGGATGGCTGAGTGCACAGCGAATAGCAAAGCTGGCCTAGACGCCTGTGCTTACTGGGCACAACAGCACACTTTTACCTAGTTCAGCCGCGCAGCTGGAAAGAGCTGCACACCACTGAAGGAAAACCTTAGGGAACATGGATTCAACCTTCTGCACCTTGATTTACAAAGCTCTGTTGCTGCTCCTTGGTGCTTTAGGGAAAAATATAACAATTGAATCACATCTTACAGTTCTCTCTACTGAAATAATGATAGCATGCCATATCTTATGTGTGCTTATTGAAAATATGAATGCTGATAAGACTTAATTGTGTTGATCTGGATGAATGATGGTCATGGAGATCGGATGGAACACAGATCTGTCATCGGTAGCCCATAAGATCTTATTGGATGTCAGGGTTGCCTTTCACAGCTTGACTTCAGCATTATGAACCAGGTAATTCTGATCCAATCATTGCTCTTATGAACTGAGCCGGCAGCAGCGTAACTTGCAGTTATATACATAAGCCAGACCAGAGCTAGTTGTCACATTCTTTTTTCGGATTCAATAAAAACAATAAATAGTACTGCTCAGAAAAAAGACACTGCAGCACTTTATGGGCTATATGTATGTCCAAAAGTTTATGTATTTGAAA